GGTGGCACATTGCATAGAATTGTAAAGGCAGAATTTTTATCAATCTTATGATCCGTATCCACAAGGTGTGCCAATATTGAACTGCTGATTGACTTTACGACTCCTGTACCTACCTAACCACGTTGGGCAATGCTCTAGAAGGCGACGGTGGACTTTCGAGTCGTTCTACCTTGGTTCTGATTGTCTCCACAAGAACAGTTACATTTATGTGTGCCAGACTCGGTAGCTTATCCTTCATCTGTATTAGAGTTATACAACGAGTGATGAATTTTTAAACATAGTGTGGCGACAGAAAATGTTCTAGCTATTATTTCTCAGAATTTCAATGCCAGTATATTTATCTACCGTGTTATTATTTCATACCACGCCATATACACGTTACATCATATATCAAATCTGATGAATATTTTGAAATTACATTATTCGATTGTCTGTGGAATTCACTGTTAGGACAATTTACTAACAAAGATTTTCTAAAGTGAAGTTTTCCAGTTTTGTGTCTGCTGTGCAGATGATTAACAGGATGTAAAAGGATATTACTGAATCAGAATAACATAACAAGTTTTGTTATAAGTGTTGTACAGTCGCATAGAAGGACAAATGGGAAACTGAGACTGTTTTTTTGCGCCTGTAGATGATATACTGGAGAAGATTTGTAACCTGGGTGGATGATTTTGACGTAGTTGTGTTGTCTGTCTGAGATGGACGGTTTACTTGAGAAGCTTTCATTGCCTTACTGAACAGGTAACATCTTCAGCTCATACTTCAATTTGTTGAACTAAGCTTTCAGACTTCTCCACGAGTTAATAAGTCATCTCTCCTAGTCACCTTGAATGTGATTGGTTGCTTTTGTCTCTCTCTCCACACCCTCTTTTTTTTCCTTCACGTTCCCCAGTGGAACATAGGGCTTCAAGCTAGTGGCTTGAAGTTTCTGTAGCAGTGTTTATTTCACAGGATGGGGTTGCTAGCCTCATGCCCAACCTTTCCTCTTCACCAGCATTATTTCTGGCTTAGCGAGGTAAAGGAGTGCGTCGGTGGCCGGGGATCGTACCCCGGACCATGTGCATGGTCGGCGAGCGTCCTAACCGCTATACCACCGACGCACTCGACACCCTCTAGTCCACTTGTATTCGTATTGATTGTTTCCTTGACCTGAAGTTGGACTTTTTGTGTATGAGATTTTCCTCTCATGAGGATTGATAAATTTTATCTCTGTCAATGTGCCTGTTAATTGCTGATTCACTGGAATACCAGGCTTCCCAAAAATTCTCTGGCGTTCTTGGATCCGATGCCTCACATAAACCAATAGAATCACCTGACTCAGGTGTGTGTCAACCGAAAGACTCGACAGCAACAGAAGAGAATACCAACATCATCTACAAAATAAGCTGCAACGACTGTGAGAAACACTACATTGGCGAGATTGGACGCCCCTCCTCTTCGTCTTCATATTCATGATCACAGACTAGCCGCCAAAAGACATGATATCCACTCCCTCATATCTCTGCATGCAGAAAACCACAGGCATCAATTCGACTAGGACAACGTTCAAATATTTGGAGGGGGAAACACCAAGAATGCCAGAGAATTTGTGGAAGCCTGGTATTCCAGTGAATCATCATTTAACAGGCACATTGACAGAGATAAAATTCACCAATCCATAAGAGGAAATCTCATACACACAAAAAGTCCAACTTCAGGTCAAGGAAACAATCAATACGAATACAAGTAGACTAGAGGGTGTGGAGAAAGAGAGACAAAAGCAACCAATCACGTTCAAGGTGACCAGGAGAGATGACTAATAAGCTCGTGGAGAAATCTAAAAGCTCGCCTCCACAAATTGAAGTATGAGCTGAAGATGTTTGCTCTTAGGGCAATGAAAGCTTCGCGAGTAAACCATCCAGCTCAGACAGTCAACACAAATACATCAAAAACCTTTAGATAATGATATAATTCTTTTCAAGTGTTGGTTTGTAGGGATTTGATTGGTTACAGGATTTTCATCATGAGCTGACATTAGTTTGAGAACCATTGGAAAACCTGTGGGTACTGGACAGCTGTTTTGTCCTAGTTTGAGACTCTTCAGCAGTACGCACCCACCACCAGGAGTTTGAACCCAGGACCTTCTGGTTACAAGGCTAGCGAGCTCGTAGACCATTAAGCCACTGGGATCCGATCCAATGGCCCATGAATTCTAACTTCTGCCAATTCACGACATAGCGCGACCCCTAGCCAATGTCTTCGGCGACTTGCCCTACTCAGGTAGGTAGTTACCTGGGGTTCTAGTGAGAAGTCGTGACCAGTAGGGTGCAGCAGGTCGGGTGTGAGGACAAATACTCGCCGAAGACATTGGCTAGGGGTCGCGCTATGTCGTGAATTGGCAGAAGTTAGAATTCATGGGCCATTGGATCGGATCCCAGTGGCTTAATGGTCTACGAGCTCGCTAGCCTTGTAACCAGAAGGTCCTGGGTTCGAACCCTGTTGGAAGGTGCGTACTGATGAAGAGTCCCATACTAGGACGAAACAGCTGTCCAGTACTCAAACTTATGTCAGCTCATGAGGAAAATATAATTCTTTCTTTCTCTAACCTCTCTCTCTCCCGGCTTTAATTAAACACGTATCATTATATATACATATATAACAACAGTTTCACCCTTTTTACGCATGAATTCTGTGACATGTCCAAAATGTCGTAAATACCTATTTCCCTAACGGACTTCAGAAACTTAGGGACTGACTTGTTACCCGGGGATAGTCTTGTTGACTTAGAATATGCCGATGATATGGTCCTCCTAGGTGAAGACGCTGATAAAATACAAGTTTCTGAACGCCTTGAGCAGCAATCTTCGTATGTTTGGCATGCAAATTGCTCCTGTCAGATGTAAGATGATGCTACAGAACTGAAATACAACGACTCCTAGCTTAAAGATAAGAAGGAGTGAAGTGGTTGGTGTAGCATGTTGACCACTTCACTTATTTGCACCATCCCTGACAGACTGATTGTTGACGAAATATCGGCAGGAATACAAAAGGCTCAAATGGCATTTGCCAGTTTACGCCATCTCTGATGTTGGCGTGATATCCGGCTGGCTATTGATCAGTAGACGTGTGTACTGCTCAGCAGTGAGTGAGTGAGAAATTGCCATTGAGAGTGGAAGGCATAAAAAGGTTAGTTGTCTTTGATCATAGATGTCTGTGTTCTATTTCCTGTGTTAGGTGGTATAATATGGTGATTGATGTTGGGATTAGGCTTCAAGTGTGCGGTAAGGAGGGAAAGTAAATCGATAAGGTTGTGAAGCTATATAAATTGAGATGGCTAGGACATGTGTTACGTATGCCGCCTAGCCATCGCCTTCCTCGACAAAAAAGGTTAGCTGACATAGGATATGGCTGGAAAAAAGTTATTGTAGTCAAACCAAAACAGGGCTTCATCAGTCAATGAAATCTTCAACAGTTAGTGTGAACCAGCCATGTAAGAAGGTGTAGACTGCTGTTTGGTTGCTGCCCTCGATATTCTAAGAACCAATGCCTGGAGACAGTTCATGACATGAATCAAAATCGTTCTCACTGACGGCTGGTCCAGATGCATTCACTCCTTGTGATTACTCAAATTCATTAGACCCTAATATCTTTTCATATTACCATTTCTTTCTCCTCCGTCAGTTCTCTGCTTATTGTAGTCCTTTCGAATCCCTTCTTCTCCCTCTTTTCTCTACTATTGTGTGCTACATGGAGTGTGGTAAGTTGAACTCCATTGGTGTAGTTATCTAGGATGATATTGATACGTTTTCCCCCATTAAATATCTCCAACTCAGAGAATAACCTTAATTTGAATATGTGCCAACAGCCTTGTTCACTTTTGTGAATATTTACTGAACTCTTAGTTTCCACTGTTGAATCTAACATATTAACGCGTTTAGTTAAATATCCTAGTTGTTTATCGCTCCTTGTGTTTTATGTGTGGAACAATCAGCAGTCCGCTCCGTCCTCCTTTATGGCTGTAAGACCTGGCCATTGAGAGCGGAAGACATGGAAAGATTAGCTGTCTTCGATCATAGGTGGCTGCGTTCTATCTATATCCCGTATGAAGTGGGATAATAAGGTGAGCAATATTGAGGTTAGGCATCAGTAGAGTGCTAGGTAAGGAGGGGAAATCAATCGGCGAGGCTGTGAAATTACATCGACTGAGATAGTTAGGACATGTGTTACGCGTGCACGTCTAGCCATCGCCTTCCTCGACAACGAGCAATGTTAGCTGACACAGGGTCAGGCTGGAAAAGAGCTAGCGGGGTTCAAACCAAAACATGGCACCAGTCAATGAAATCCATAACAGTTAGTTTAAGCCAGCCACGTAGGAAGGTGTAGACTTCCTGTCTTGTTGGGGTCCTCGGGACGGTAAAAACCAATGAAGGCTGGAAACAATTGGTGACACGGCTTAAAATCGTTCTCAATGGCGCAGATGCATCCACTCCTTGTGACTTGTGATTTCCAATGAAACTGTTTTGTTCTTCGTTATTACTATACCTTTGTGTCACACCTCTGTTTACTGTCTCTAATATGCATTTCTCCTAATTTCTTCTCTTGCTTTGTGTGCTACATGAAGGGAGTGTGGCGACTTGAACTGCCGCACATGTGTGCAAAGTTCTATGTCGAAACCCAACCAATGTGTGGAACAAAGAGCTGCACCATTTGAAGCCTCTCATTAGAAGCGGTGTTTCTTTTTTTCAGGTGGGGCATGCTAGTCTCATGCCCAACCTTTCCTCTTTTCCAGGCTTACTATCGGATAGGAAAGCTTAGCGAAGTTTATATAAGCGTCGGTGGGGAATCTCACCAAAGACTACTTGTGTGTGTGTGCCTGGCGAGCATATTCTATCAATGAGCCAGCGATACAGTTTTGGTTTACACTCTGTAGTAAATCTACTATTGCTTGATTTGTTTTGAAATGATTTTCTTTTGTATTTTAAGCTATCTCCACTCTTATCTTTCTCTCTTCTCTCCAGCTGGCTACAGCTTCTGGGTCAACTCTGGGTGCTATCCTCACGCTGTGCGCTAATGCAGCAGTAACAGGTAAGTATGAGTTTTATTGTTGTAGCAGTTAAATTATGTTGTCTAATCATTATTATTATTATTACCATATTATGAACACCAAGAGGTGCGCCACACAGTCTCATTGTTTCTGCGAGGGAGAGGATACTCCGCAAATGCCCAGACCGAAGCTGGTGGTTGTCTTATTTATGAAGCCACACTCCCTGAGCCTTTGATTCGAAGTCTAATTCACAAGCCAGTGGAGCAGTGTTTTGGGAGCTGCATCCCCATGATCTCCGGCGGCCAAAACAAATTCGTGTGTCATTCGGTCCCTTTTCGGATTCTGGAGCCTATGTATACCACCATGGGTGGAGAGTGAGGGTTTCCGAGTAACTCTACCCTAAGTAGACATGGATGTCCACCAGTCTGCTTGTAATCATCTCCAGATGTTTTCTTATGTTGTTTAAAGTTTAAAATCATTTAAATACTATTGTTTCCTAGATATAATAATTTTCGCCACTGAATTAAGTTAACTGGTTTACAGTTCAGTCAATGAATGCTGGATTTCTAGTCCCTTCCCACCTAAATCCTCAATCTGATCAGCTGGTGAGTCTCATCAAACCTCACGCAACAAGGAAAGGCTTTCAGTATGGTGCTTCGGTGGTTAGTTGAGCAGTTGAATGCTCGTCAACCATGCATGTCGTCTAGGGTTCGATCCTCTGCCAACGCACTCCGAAACCTCGCTAAGCCAGTAGTAATGCCAGTAAAAAGACGGAAGGTTGGGTGTGAGGTTAGCAATTTCACCACATAAAAATTAAAACCACTGCTACCGCAACCTTCAAATCTCAATGTTTGAAGCCCTATATCTGTCTGTCTGTTTTCGACATAGAACTTTGCACCGATGTGCAGCAGTTCAAGTCGCCACACTCCTCATGTAGCATACAAAGCAAGAGAAGAAAGTAGAAGAAATGCATAATACAGACAGTAAACAGAGGTGTGAGACAAAGGAATAGTAATAACGAAGAACAATATAGTTTCATTGGAAATTATAAGTCACAAGGAGTGGATGCATCTGCGCGCCATTGAGAACAGATTTCGAGCCATGTCACCAATTGTTTCCAACCATTGGTTTTTACCGTCCCGAGGAACCCAACCAGTCAGGAAGTCTACACCTTCCTACGTGGCTGGCTTAGACTAACTGTTGTGGATTTCATTGACTGGTGCCATGTTTTGGTTTGACCGCCGCTAGCTCTTTTCCAGCCTGACCCTATATCAGCTAACATTGCCCGTCGAGGAAAGCGATGACTAGGCATACGTAACACATGTCCTAACCATCTCAGTCGATGTAATTTCACAGCCTCGTCGATTGATTTCCTTCCTCCTTACCTAGCACTCGACCGAAGCCTAACCTCAATATTGCTCACCTTATTATACCACTTCACACGGGAGATAGAACGCAGACACCTATGATCAAAGACAGCTAGCCAACCTTTTCATGTCTTCCACTCTCAATGGCCATGTCTCACTCACAGCCATAAAGGAGGACGGAGCGGACTGCTGAGCAGTACACCCTATATTCCACTCGGAAAGGCAAAGGAGTATGAATTTCCACAACGTGATGACTGAAAAATCTTCTCTGGGCAACTGAATTCTGACAGTTATTCTTTTGTAGACAATCTCATTGTTACACCTTTAAAAAAACACATATCAGTTTCTCTTCAACTGTAAGACATAAATTTTAAACGGTAATATAGGAGTAGAATTTAGAAGTTGTACGTTAATGTCTAATTTTGAATTGCGAGCCAAAAATAGGTTAATATTTTTGCGTTTCTTCTAATCTCCTCTTTTCTACAGACAGCCTTATAAATCATATGAAATGAACGCTGTTGTAAGATTCTCTCTTTATGAATTATTATCATGATTACTGTACAAAAAATCTGTTTGAGATTTATTTTAGGCTTTCTGTATGTTTATGGATCGTTTTCCTCTTTCACTCTGCCTCGAAAGTTAACTAATAACTTCAACAAGAGGTGGAGCAAAAGTTGAGCAAAGTTGTGTTTTCTTTTCAACAATTACACTATTATTGTTCCCTTGGGATAAGTGTGGAACATACCGCTTCAGAAACACATCTCCCCTCTGTTTTATTTAGCGCTGTCCTCTTCATCTGGGTCCATGATTGCCCATGATCTTTCATCTCCTCCTCCTCCTGGAATGATCTGCTCCATATCACCCTGACACCAACGACCCACTAGTCGCTTCCCATTGGAATTCCACTTGAACGATGGCTTGCATTGAGTGCGATATCATTCGACGAGCAGTCGACTCTTGGTTGGTTTGTTCCCAGCCAGAGTTCCTTGTTGCTAATTCTTTCTGGTCAGCTGGCCATTCGACCTTCAGTATGTGGCCAGCAAAAGGGGGCAGCTGTTGATGTTAGTCTGCAACAGGCTGTTAGAAATGCTTTCCGCGACTTACTTACTTTACTTTACTTCGGCTATCTCCTACGGAAGGATGAGCCGGCTTCATGAACATCTCGAATCATCGCTGCCCAGGCGCGGCGATCTGATGAAGAGAGTTTATGAAGTTTCATGGGAATTTGGTACGAGTGATGTCCCCAGAATCGCTCGGCCTTTTGTTTGAGAGTGCAGCTCTAGCCTTTACACAACCAAGTGTGACCTACAAGGCAGTAGGAGTGGAGTAGGGAGTCCACTATCCATTGGCAGCCGGTGACTGGAGTTCGGTTCATACGCCTTTTTGAATGGGGTCAGACATCCAGGACATCCAACAAGCCCTTTGTCCATACGTCTGCCGGTGAGCTCCAGTGAGCTTCATACGCCAGTCGTTGGAGGTTTGGAATGAGGGTTTAGCCATCTCCCCTAGACTGTCATCCAATGGACAGTCAACCCGGTGAAGAGCGCCGGGCATCCGCTTTCGCCCTCTCACTTTGGTGAAAAACACCGCCACGTGAAGGCAGTGAGTAGGACTTCCTCAGGAGAAGCTATGTAAGACGCCCGGTCATATGGGAGCATTTCAAGAGATGTGCGGAGGGGTGGTCAACCCGCAGCGCAGGATGTACGAATAGCTCAATGTGATAATGCTCTCCTGGATGACACAGTTTCTTCCGCGTTGCAAACATGCCTTGTTCACCAGTGTGAATAAGCAAGCAACGCTGGTCAGACACGACTTCCTGCTGACTGTTTCCAACAAGCTAACATCAATTATATATTAGTTTAATTAATCATCGGATGTGATAGTGTTCTCCGCCAATACAACTGTGGCAATCAACAATTGTAATATGACATGAATACATATATATGTGGGAATGTTTCTTTTTTGTCTGATGAAAACTCCGTCACTGAGCATCTTTTTTTATTCCTTCACGTTCCCAGTGGAACATAGGGTTTCAAGGTACAGGCTTGAAGTTTCTGTAGCAGTGTTTACTTGTACAGGATGGGTTCGCTAGCCTCATGCCCAACCTTCCCTCTTTATCAGTTCTATTACTGGCTTAGTGAGGTAAAGGAGTGCGTCGGTGGCCGGGGATCGAACCCCGGATCTTGTGCATGGCCGACGAGCGTCCTAACCTCTGTGCCACCGACACCCATTGAATATCTAATAAGTAGTATATTCCTGTGTCAATATCTTTCAACAGCTTAGAAATGTATGACGAGGTGTTCAGTTGTTTGCTTTTTCCATTAATTTTAAAGACTTTATTTAGAGTAATATTTAATCGTAGGTCGATATTGTCTAGTGTAAATTGATACGTGGCAGATACGAAAAGGCCTGGTTAGCTAGCTGTCTTTGATCATAGGTATCTGCGTTCTGTCTCCCATGTGTGTTAGGTGGTATAATAAGGTGAGCAATATTAAGGTTACGCGTCGGTCAAATGCTAGGTAAGGAGGGGAAATCAATCGACGACGTTGTGAAACAGCTGCATCGATTGAGTGAGATGGTTGGGACATGTGTTACCCATGCCTAGCCTCCCGTCGCCTTCCTCGACGAGAAATGTTAGCTGACATAGGATTATTGATCAGGTTGGAAAAGAGAGAGCCAGTGGTGGTCAAACCGAAACGTGGCTTCATCAGTCAATTAAATTCATAACAGCAAGTTTAAGCCAGTCTCCACGTAGGGAGGTGTAGACTTCCTGAGTGACTGGTTGGGGTCCACGGGATGGTAAGAACCGATGACGGCTGGAGACAATTGGTGGTATGACTTAAAATCGTTCTCATTGACGGCTGGTGCAGATGCACTCACTCTTTGTGATTTATAATATCCAATAAAATTATATTGTTCTTCCATATTACTATTCTTTTTCCCTCACTCAAAATTCTGTTTATTATCTGTCTTTTGAATTCCTCTTCACCCTCTTCTCTTGCTTAGTGTGCTACATGGAGGAGGTAGAGTGGCAACTGGAACTGCTGCACTTATGTGGAAAGTTCTATGTTGAAACCAGTCAGTCAGCTCCTAGCTTGGTGATAGGGAGTGAAGTGATAGAACATGTTGACCACTTCACCTATTTGGGAAGTTGTATCAGCACCAACGGATTGATTGGTGACGAAATCTCAGCACGGATCCAAAAAGCTCGAGCTGCTTTCGCTGACTTACATCATCTCTGGCGTAGGCGTGACATCCGGCTATCAACCAAGGGGCGTGTGTACTGCTCATCAGTTCGCTCCGTCCTTCTCTATGGTTCTGAAACATGGCCAATACGAGTTGAAGACATGGAAAGGTTGATCATAAGTGTCTACGATCTCTTTCTCACGTTAGGTGGTATAATAAGGTAAGCAATGTTGACGTTAGACGTAGAGTGTTGGGCAAAGAGGGAAAATCAATCGAAGAGGCTATAAAGTTACATAGATTGAGATGGCTAGGTCACGTGCTGCGCATGCCTAACCACCGCCTCCCCCACCCCGACGGGCATTACTAGCTGATATAGGTGCAGGTTGGAAAAGAGCAAGTGGTGGCCAAACAAAAACATGGCATCAATCAATCCATGAAATCCTTGACAGCTAAACTGAGTCAGGTAGGGAGGGAGATGCAGACTTCCGGGTTGGGGCCCGCCCTCGGGACTCTAAGAGTCAATGGTGGCTGGAGACAGTAGGTGACATGGCTGAAATTCGTTGTCAATGGCTTACGCAGATGTATTCAGTCTCTTGTGTAATCTTTCATATTCCTTTCTACCATTACTCATTCTGTTTCACTCTTATACTTGTCAAAACTCTATTGATTCTCTTCACTCTCATCTTCTTGTCTACCTTTGTGTGGTATTTGTAACGTGGCAACTGGAACTTCTGCACTTCGGTGCGAAGTTCTATGTTGAATCCAGCCATCCAGTCAGTCAGCCAGTTAGTTAGTCAGTCAGTCAGTGTGAATTGAATTAATCCCGTGCGTGAATTAGAGGTGTGGGGGCTTTGTATCGAAATTTCTAAATTCCAGTTCATGTCAGTGTGTTATTATAAACAGTATAATTTTTATGATTAATTAATTGTTATCATGTCCAGTATATACATAGTAGTAATATTATCACTATTATCGTCACTATAAATGACATACCCACTAGACTTGGATATTGGTAAACTAAACTAAAAACTCTATATATACTTGAAATAAATTAATCGATCGATAATAAGGCTAAGTAACAATTTGTAGTACATTTTCAATATAGCTTAACTTGATTCATAAGTTGTTTTATAGTCATAAGTGGTGTGTGGCTATATAACCATATTTTGGTGTGTGTGTGTGTGTGTGGGCGGATGCGTTTATGTCCCTTTTTGTATCAACCTCATAGTTAGTAATTACTACTGTGGTTGTGGTGGCAATATCAGCAGTATTAGTAATTAGATCATGGTACTTAGTAATTAACAATTACGAACTTATAATGTTCGTAATTACGATTTCAATATTTACCTGTTTTGTTATTATTGTGAAAGTGATATATTTATATTGTTTTATCTTTGTAAACTTACCAAGATTTATCAAATGTTGGTTTGCAGGGATTTGGTCTTTTGATAGAGGAGACCATTGGAAGAACCAGGCAGTGCTGATGGACAGCTGTTTTGTCCCAGTTTGGGTCTCTTCATCAACAGTACGCACTCACTCACTGAGTTTCGATTCCAGGACCTTCCGGTTATAGGACCAGCTTGTAGACCATTCAGTTAGCCGCCAGCTGATGAATTCCAACCAACCAACCAACTCGGCGATGACTTTGGCTGGTGATTGCGCCACATTTATTGCGAACTGGTAGGAGTTACAATTTGTGGGCTGGCCATTGGCTGAATGGTCTACAAGTTCGCCTTGTCACTGGAAGGTCCTGTGTTCGAACCCCGGTGGGTGCGTAGCGATGAACAGCGCCAAACTAGGACAAAATAGCTGTCCAGTAGTACTCAAACCTCTACCTCAACTTTATAGACTTTGAGAAGGCCTTCGACAGCGTTGACCGCGAAGTAATTTGGAAACTACTCGAGTACTACGCCGTACCCCAAATATTCATCAACCTTATTCAACAGCTGTACGACAACGACACATGTCAAGTGATCCACAACGGGAAACTCAGCGAAGCGTTTGGAGTAAACACAGGAGTCGGAAAAGGGTGCTTGTTATCACCAATGATATTCCTAATTGTGGTGGACTGGATTATGCGTCAGACAGTGGGAAACGAGAAGACAGGGATATCCTGGACCGACGTGAAGAACCTAGAAGACCTGGATTTTGCGCGTGGATGATTTATGTTTGATGTCACACAAAATCGAAGACTTACAAGCGAAAACCGACAAGCTGGTCGAAGAAGCAGCAAAGACAGGACTCCAGGTGAATGTAGACAAGACGGTGGTTATGAAAATAACCAAACAACAACAACAGCAACATCCAGCGCCATCCAATCACCATCAACGGGAGGGATTTGAAAGATATTACTTCATTCACTTATCTAGGGAGCATTGTCTCAACTACAGGAGGAACGGACGAGGATGTCAAATCGAGAATCGGGAAGGTGAGAAACACATTCATCAACCTGAAACCAATCTGGAAATCTTCGTCACTTAACTCAGCATCAACAACAAAATTCGGATTTTCAATACAAACGTCAAGTCAGTTCTTGTATACGGGGATCAGAAGCTTGGTGGGTCACAAAGAATATTTCCAACAGCCTGTTGCAGACCTTCATCAACAACTGTCTTCGCTCTATACTGAAGATCAGATGGCCGCCAAAAAGAATCACCAACAAGAAACTATGGGAACAAACAAACAAAACAAGAACCAATCGCTCAACAAATATGCAGGAGAAAGTGGAGATGGATCTGACACTCGCTGAGGAGACCGCTGGGTAACATCGCGCGTTAGGCCAGTGCTCGAGTGGAACCCGAAAGAGAAGCGGCAAGTGGGACATCCAAGGGTGACATGGAGGAGATCGTGTGAAGAAGAGTTGAAACAGTATGGATTAACATAGATGCAGGTGAAAAGTAAAGCAGAAGATAGCAGCAAGTGGAGACGAGCAGTTAAAGCCCTATGTTCCACTAGGAACCCGAGGGAACAATAATAATAAGTACTCCTCGGTTTTCCAATGGTGTCTCCTCTGTAATAAATCAAGTCCTTGTAAACACCAACTCGTGAAATACCAAGAATTATATGCTTCATTCTCTTATAGACAGTCAGTTCGCTCAAGTAGCTGAATAGAATTCAGATGGTTTGAGCTGATTCAACTCTCTGATCTGAATTCAACCTGGGTTCCAAGTGGAAACAAGGCTTCAGAGCACATCTTCACTTTGTCCTGCTCCCTACAGTCCTCTTCAGCTGGTCCCACGACTGCCTATACGCTCTCATCTCCTCCTCACACGGTGTCCTCCCTGTCACCCTCACATCCATACCCAACTCATTGTTTCCCACTCAGGTTCCACCCAAGGGCCTGACGTATGGTGTTACTCGATGATTTCCTCAGCTTGAGTTCAATCTATCTCCATTTTCCAATTGATTGTTGACCAATAGGTTCTCGATTGTTTCATTCTCTGGCCAGCCATCCGATCTTCAGTCTAGATCCAGCAAAGACAGTTGTTGATAAAAGTCTGAAACAGGCTGTTAGAAATGCTTTTCTTGACGTGTTCAAGAAGTTTTTGATCCATATAGAAGAAGAAGTGACTGACTTAACAATGGTGTTGAAAATTTGAATTTTGTTCTTGATGCTGAGTTCAGAAGATTTCCAAACTGATCTCAGAGGGATGATGGCTTATCTTGCCTTTCCGATTCTGACTGTCTGGCTTTGACATCTTCATTCGTTCTGCCTGTAGTATAGTTGAAGCCATATATTTTCTAGATAACCGAAGGAGGAAGCCTCCAAAGCCTCAGGATGGTCGGGGGTGGGTGCCTTGCGCTGCGGGTTGGCCACCCCTCCGCACACCTCTTGAAATGCTCCCATATGACCGGGCGTCTTACATAGCCTCTCCTGAGGAAGTCCTACTCACTGCCTTCACCTGGCGGTGTTTTTCACCAAAGTGAGAGGGCGAAAGCGGATGCCCGGCACTCTTCACCGGGTTGACTGTCCATTGGATGACAGTCTAGGGGAGATGGCTAAACCCTGACTCCAAGCCTCCAACGATTGGCGTATGAAGCTCACTGGAGCTCACCGGCAAACGTATGGACAAAGGGCTTGTTGGATGTCCTGGGTGTCTGGCCCCATTCAAAAAGGCGTATGAACCGAACTCCGGTCACCGGCTGCCAATGGATAGTGGACTCCCTGCTCCACTCCTACTGCCTTGTAGGTCACACTCGGTTGTGTAAAGGCTAGAGCTGCACTCTCAAACAAAAGGCCGAGCGATTCCTGGGACATCACTCGTACCAAATTCCCATGAAACTTCATGAACTCTCTTCATCAGATCGCCGCGCCTGGGCAGCGATGATTCGAGATGTTCATGAAGCCGGCTCATCCTCCCGTAGGAGATAGCCGAAGTAAAATAAAAAAATAAATAGAAGGAGGAAGTTACCTCCTCGAAGTTTCTCCTGTTGATGTTGGTTGGTTATCATCTTCATCACCTCCGTCTTCTCTCTCCCTCATATCTAATAATAATAATAATAATAATTTGCTTTATTCCAGAAACAGTACTAGTGGTACAGTGTAGAATTTTCAGCACATATCTACAATATTTGCATCTAATTTTATCAAACATTTAAAAGGAGTATTTCAAAAAAATAAATATAAAGACAACAACAACAAAAACAAAGAAACACAAAAATAATTTTTTTTAATGCGAAAAATACCAAGTAGTAGAAGCTATGATATGATTATGCATGGTGACAGTAAAGCTATAGTCATACAAGAAGTTATGAAATGATATTTAAGAATGTTTATCGCCAAGATGATCAGTTAATTTGGTTGAAACAACTCTAAACAATCGTAAAATAACATTTCAGGGTTGTTGTTTTGTTTTTTATTGTCAGGTCTAATGCAGTGTTTGTAGTGGTAGTGTGAGTAATCCTGCATAATACAAAATTTTTAGGTGGTGACAATGGCGTTCACAACCAATGATTGTCAGTTAATATTGCCGAACAAAAAAAACAGCAACCACAAAAACTAATAATTACATGATGGTTAATGACAGGACAATTTTGTACTACTCATAGTGCTAATATAGTCGGAACCAGTAGATACACAAAAGAAGGAATAGAGTAAAGTACAAAAAAGGAAGCCAATGTTAATATTTTAGGTAGCTAAGTATGTTAGAAGAAGGAGTTCACTATAGAATACAAAATAAGAGAGAAATAAAAGAGCCTAAAATTATGTTATTAACAACAAAGCAAGTTATAGGTTTCGCGCTTAACATTGTCTCTGTCACTTAGAACACGGGCCAAATATGGTATCGTTGAGTTCCTGTACTTGGTTGTACGAGCATAGATTATTTTATACTGACTTATATAATATATATATGTCCTTGATAGTTATCTTTCTGAAATTGAACTTGTTTTTCATACCTTTCTTTTTCCAGGTTGTACAACCAAATGGATTTTGCCTTTCACTGCCGGTGGTTTTCTGTATATCGCTTTAGTTTCTCTATTACCTGATATTTTAAAAGAGTTATCATTCAAGTAAGCTTATGATGCATTTATATATTTTATTTCTCATAATAATACAATAACTTATTCACTCAATCATTCATTTTGTTTGTTTGTTTGTGTGTGTGTTGTTTCTTTTTTGGTCCTTTTTATTGATTCATTACGTTCCGAATGGAACATTGACCTTTGAGCTCTAAAGTCTCAGTATAATAACAGTGGTGGTGTGTTGTATCTTGTTTACAGGATGAGATTGCTTGCTAGCCTAATGCCCCTACCTTCTCTCTTCACCTGGCCTTCGGTTGACTACTAAGCTAAATGAGGTTTAGGAGTGCATCGACTTGAGAATCGAACCTGGACTGCTGCTGCTGCTGGATTCAACATAGAACTTGGCACCGAAGTCCAGCAGTTCCAGTTGCCACGTTCCAAATAGCACACAAAGGTAGACAAGAAGATGGATGAGTGAAGAGAATCAATAGAGTTCTGACAAGTATAAGAGTGAAACAGAGTGAGTAGTGGTAGAAAGGAATATGAGACTCAATATTACAGAGACTGAATACATCTGCGTAAGCCATTGACAACGATTTTGAGCCGTGTCACCACCTATTGTCTCCAGCCACCATTGATTCTTGGAGTCCCGAGGGCGGGCCCCAACCAGGAAGTCTGCATTCCTCCCTACTTGACTCAGTTTAACTGTCAAGAATTTCATGGATTGATGCTATGTTTTTTGTTTGACCACCACTTACTCTTTTCCAACCTGCACCTATATCAGATAGTAATGCTGGTCCGTTGGGGGAGGCGATGGGGTTAGGCATTCGCAGCACGTGACCTAGCCATCTCAATCTATGTAACTTTATAGCCTCTTCGATTGATTTTCCCTCTTTGCCCAACACTCTATGCCTAACCTGGACTACTCGTTTGGCTGGTGAGCATTTTATCATTCCAACCACCTACGCTCACTTTAGGCCTATGTTTAATTTCATTTGGTTAAGGTTGCCCATTAGTGAATAAGGAGTACCTTCTTCATCACGTTCTAGATCTATAGGTTTTTTTCAGTTATGAAATGTTATCTAGTAACAATCTGTTCACATATACATCTTGGATCTTTAATCTTAATGATTCAATATTATTTTTAAAAGGACGACTATATGGATCAGAGACTTGGCCAGCGCGTCATAAAGAGCATCTCAAACAAACTACACACCTTCATTAACAGTTGTCTTCGCTCAATACTCAAGATCAGATGGCTGGCCAGAAAAGATCAGCAACAGAGATCTCTGGCAATGAGCGAACCAACCAGGAACCGATTGTGAAACAACAAATAGACAGGAAGAAATGGAGATGGATTGGCTGGCCATACTCTGAGGAAACAATCCATCAAGTGACATCACTAGACAAGCCATTGCTCGAGTGGAACCCAAAATGGAAGCGGCGAGTTGGTCGTCAGTGCAAGGGTGACTTGGAGGAGGTCATGTGAAGAGGAGATGAAAGCATGTGGGGGCAGACTTGGAGCCAGGTGAAGACTCTAGCAGAGAACCGAACGCAATGGAGACGTGCACGGCTGAAGCCCTATGTTCCTCTAGGAATTAAAGGAAACAATAATAATAATAATGTCGTCGGTAACTTATGCCTGACTTATAATGAATATATTACTGTAGAGTCTGAAAAAAGGAGTTATCGAAAGGCATATTCTCTGTTCATTAATTCATATCTAGACATTTTCACACCAGTTGACTGATTTACAGGCATGTGCAGATAGTCGTGCTTCTTGTGTTGCTTTCCGCCTAACTATATTGATTGCTTACAACTTATTGGGTCTAACTAGCATTTAGCATAATCATCGCTGTCCATGGAATTCCTCCACTATATTCAACTAAGTTATTTTACTTGCCCAAACGCCACCCCCTTCCCCCGCCCCACTTAAAAAATGAAGACCGTTGAGTGACATCACACGCCAGATCTACCCTCAATTAGGACCCGAATGAGAAACAAAGAGTTGGACCTGGATCTGAGGTTGATATGGAGGAGATCGTGTATAAGGAGGAGGGGTGAAAGATGCTTAAGTGTGATCGTGGAGAGTGATAAAGAAGACCACAGAGAAAATGATGAAATGGAGATGTTCTCTTGCAGTTCAATGTTCCACTTGGAACCCAAGGGAATATTAGTAGTAGTATTAATGACTGATTGACCGGTTTCAACATAGAACTTTGCACATATGTGCAGCAGTTCGAGTTGCCACTCTACCTCCTCCATGTAGCACACAAAGCAAGAGAAGAGGGTGAAGAGGAATTCAAAAGAGAAATAACCAACAGAAGTTTGAATGAGGGAAGAAGAAGGAAACAGTTTTATTGCATATGACAAATCACAAAGAGTGAGTGCATCTGCACCAGCCGTCAATGAGAACGACTTTAAGCCATACCACAAATTGTCTCCAGTCGTCATCGGTTCTTACCATCCCGTTGACCCCAACCAGTCACTCAGGAAATCTACACCTCCCTACGTGGAGACTGACTTATACTTGCTGTTATGAATTTAATTGACTGATGAAGCCACGTTTCGGTTTGACCACCACTGGCTCTCTCTTTTCCAACCTGATCAGTCCTATGTCAGCTAACATTTCTCGTCGAGGAAGGCGACGGGAGGCTAGGCATGGGTAACACATGTCCCAACCATTTCACTCAATCGATGCAGCTGTTTCACAACGTTGTCGATTGATTTCGCCTCCTTACCTAGCACTTGACCGACGCGTAACCTTAATATTGCTCACCTTATTATATCATCTAACAGACACGGGAGATAGGACGTAGATACCTATGATCAAAGACAACTAGCCTTTTCATGTCTTCCACTTTTGATGACCTAGCCGTAGAGGAGTACGAAGCAAACTGCTGCTGTACAGTAAACACATCCTATGATCGACAGCCAGCCCGATATCACGTCCGCTAAGCCACAAATGGCATAAATCGGCAGGCATATGCCAAACCAGCCTTCTGTATCCGTGCTGAGACCCCGTCAGCGATCAACCCACTGGTATTGCACTGGCTGATGCAACTTTCCAAATAAGTGAAGTGGTCAACATGCTGTACCACTTCTACCGTGCTAATACGCTTTCTGTTTCAGGTATCTCGAAAGTAGTAATAATAGGAATTGTAGGCGTGACATCCGGCTATCCACCAAGGGACGTGTACTGGTCAGCAGTTCGCTCCGTCCTTCTCTATGGCGCTCTGAAACATGGCCAATACGAATTGAAGACATGAAAAGGTTGACTGTTTTTGATCATAGATGTCTACGATCTCTTTCTCACGTTAGGTGGTGGTATAATAAGGTGGTAAGTAATGTTGACGTTAGGCGTAGAGTGTTGGGCAAAGAGAGGAAAATCAATCGAAGAGGCTATAAAGTTACATAGATTGAGATGGCTAGGTCACGTGGTGCGCATGCCTAACCATCGCCTCCCCCACCCCGACGGGCATTACTAGCTGATATAGGTGCAGGTTGGAAAAGAGTAAGTGGTGGCCAAACAAAAACATCGCATCAATCAATCCATGAAATCCTTGACAGTTGAACTGAGTCAGGTAGGGAGGGAGATGCAGACTTCCGAGTTGGGGCCCGCCCTCGGGACTCTAAGAATCAATCAATGGCTGGAGACAATAGGTGGTGACATGGCTCAAAATCGTTGTCAATGGCTTACGCAGATGTATTCAGTCTCTTGTGTAATCTTTCATATTCCTTTCTACCATTACTCATTCTGTTTCACTCTTATACTTGTCAAAACTCTATTGATTCTCTTCATCACTCATCTTCTTGTCTACCTTTGTGTGGTATTTGGAACGTGGCAACTGGAACTGGTGCACTTCGGTGCCAAGTTCTATGTTGAATCCAGACAGACAGACAGAATAATACTAACTGTCATTATCTGGATCGCCTTTTTAGTTACTGTTTGTATGAGTAAACTTTTCCTTTTCGGAAACAGCAACATGAGATAAAAATTTTGCACACTGACGCAATTTTCTGATTTATTTATTGATTTATTTTTTCATTTTCAGAGAATCACTGATTCACTTAGGTCTCATTTTTATTGGATTAATTTCAATGGCAATTGTTTCCTATGCAATGGATTAATATTACTTATTGTGTATGAATACCAATCAGATTAGTCGATTCAAAGGAAAGTAATAATAATAATATCAATAATATTTGATGAATAAGCCATATATATCAACTGCTTACTCACTTTCCAATTTGAAGTGTGCCTCTTCAAGAGAAACCCGTGATAATCACTCACTCACCCACTCATCAAAGACAACCACACACAAATACAAAGAAATTGAAAGATAGAAAGAGAAGACAAAAAGTTGATTTCTAAATTTTATTTTTATTCCCAGCGTTTGCTGATTTGCTTTTTTTTAAAAGATCGTCTCTGATTTCGCAGTCAGTTTTAAAATAATTTTATTAAATGTGGTATTATTTACTTAGGAGAGAATATTCTCAAAAAGAGAGAGAGAGAAGAAGTTTCACTCCCCTTACTCTCACCCCCCACGCCTATCACCTCTCATTATTTAATTAATATTTGCCATTTACTTACTATTATTATGCATTTCTTCTAGAGTGAGTGAGTTCCCATTTCTTTTTTGTAGAAACAATCTTTGCCCTCTCCGCCTCCCCGTTGCCACTGCCGCTGCACCGCTTCTTTCCTCCATTTTGCCATCAGTGATGACGGTTGTGTTACCTACCACCATATATACGGGGATTTTTTTTCATTGTCATTTTTACACAGCTTATTCTTGGCTTCTTTGTGCGCGTGTGCGAGTGTGTGTGGGCGTGGTTTTTTTATACAGCTGATTTATACTTCCTATGACAACTACTCACACACATACACAGTACACCAGCCTATGCTGTTTTGTATTTGTTCAATATGGAAAAAAAAGATTTCATTGTGTGTATAGTTGTAATGATAATGGTGATGATGATGATGCTTGACTCTCTTTTATGTATTTTTTAAAGATGATGATCAGTGTAATAAGAAATAACTTTTGGTAAATGAAATATTAATAATAATAATAATAATGATAATAATAATTAGCATACACTGATAAGAAATGTTATTTTTCCTGCAACATAGTACATGGTGTTTCAGTGTTGGTGTTGCTTTTTTTCTTTGTTTGTTTGCATTCCTTTGTGTTCTGAGTGGATTATAGGGTGGTTTATTATTAATACTACTATTGTTTCCTTCAATTCCTAGAGGAACATAGGGCTTCAGCCGTGCGTCTCCGTTGCGTTCGGTTCTCTGCTAGAGTTTTCACCTGGCTCCACCAAGTCTGCCCACACATACTTTCATCTCCTCTTCACATGACCTCCTACTCCATGTCACCCTTGTACTGACGACCGACTCGCCGCTTCCCTTTCGGCCGGGTTCCACTCGAGCAATGGCTTGTCTAATGATGTCACTTGATGGTTTCCTCAGAGTATGGCCAGCCAATCCACCTAACTCCATTTCTTCCTGCCTATTTGTTTCACAATCAGTTCCTGCTGGGTTTGTTCGCTCCCAGAGATTTCTGTTGCTGATCTTTTCTGGCCGGCCATCTGATCTTGAGTATTGAGCGAAGACAGCTGTTAATGAAGATATGTAGTTTGTTTGAGATGCTCTTTATGATACACCAAGTCTCTGATCCGTATAGCAAGTAGCACTGACTTCACATTGGAGTTGAAAATCCGGATCTTATTTTTGATGGTGAGTGCTGTTGACCTCCACACAGACTTGAGAGTAGTGAAAGCCTGTCTCGCTTTTCCGATTCTTGCTTTGATATCCTCGTCAGTTCCGTCCGCCTGTAGTTGAAACGATGCTTCCCAGGTAGGTAGAAGAGGTTGTTTCTTTCAGGTTCCTTCCATTTATGCTGATTGTTGTCTGTTGTTGTTGTTGGTGTCGCCTAGGAATCTTCGTCACCTCTGTTTTGTCTATGTTCACCTGAAGTCCTATCTTTGATGCTTCTTCTGCCAACTTGTTGCTTTTCGCTTGCATATCTTCCAGTTTGTGGGAAATCAGACATATATCATCGGCGAAGTCCAAATCCTCCAAGTATTTTGTGTAAGTCCATTTAATGCCTGTTTCCTCATTGCCCAGTGTCTGTCGCATTATCCAGTCTACTGCAATCAGGTAAATCATTGGCGATGGTAGGCAGCCAGCTTGTCTTACTCCTGTCCTCACTTCGAAGGATTCCGTAAGTTTCCCGCTGTGGATTACTTGGCATGCAGCATTATCGTACAACTGTTGGATGAAATGTATAATTGTTGGCGGCACCTCTTGGTAGTAGCAAAGTAGTTGCCAAATCTCCTCTCGATCGACGCTGTCGAATGCCTTTTCAAAGTCGATGAAGTTGAGATAGAGAGGTGACTGCCATTCCAAACTTTGTTCAATGATGATCCGTAATGTGGTGATCGGATCAATGCATCACTTGTTCCCCCTGAATTCAGCTTGTTCCGGTCGAAGTTTTTCATCCAGGGCATGTTTGATTCTCTCCAGGATGATGCGGCTTAGTATTTTGTTTGGGATGGACAGGAGCATAATTCCGCGCCAGTTCTTGCATTGACTTAGGTCTCCTTTTTTTGACAGTCCGTTGTTGTCTCTGGGTCCATTTTCAACGCCTCTGCTGGGATTCCATCTGGTCCTGCTGCTTTTCCAGCTTTTAGCATCTTGATTGCCTTCAGGACTTGTGATTTCGTCGGGGTGTTGGTGTTCACTGGTAGCTCTGTCTCCGTTGTTGCTATTGTCGGGCGAAGTTGTCGGTGGTGGTCGATTTAGGAGTCTTTTGAAGTGTTCAGCCCAGTGTTTCCTTTGCTCCACTTCTTTGGTGATTGACTTTCCATTGTCATCCTTCACTGGCTTAATTTGTGTCGAACTTTTGACTGATAGGTACCTAGTTGTTTGGTAGTGTTGCGAGGTCTCCTTTACCTGCACTACAGCTTGTTCAGCTTCACTTGCCATGGTTTCATAGTACTTTCTTTTGTCTTCTCTGGCACTTTTCTTTACTCTTTTCTTCAGTATATTGTAGCTTGCATTCAAATCCTGTTTTTGTTGCTCGTCGGTGCATTACGAGTGGAATATAAGAACTCGACAGCACATCTCCATTGTATTGGACTGCATGACTGGCCATAAGGCTTCATTCCCTCCTCGGTACATAGTCCTGTCTATGTCATCCTCGTGCACACGCCTAAGTCGTCATCGCTTCCTTTTCGCATTCCATTCGAGGCCGCCGAAATGACGTGTGATGTTACTTGAATGTCTCTTCTGCATATGATCAGACAGTAATAAGAAGCAGTTTATTGCTGTAACTGTGATCAGACTCTTTGAACTGCTACACGCTGACGACTCCAACACCTAAACAAACGAAGGTGTTACGGTCACCCAGTGTTAAGATCACTTCGACTAATCAGTAGTACACACCACCAGGCTTTTCCTTTCTTGCTGACTGTTTATGGTGATAAGCTGGTCATACATTGTGATCGGAATATTTTGGGTTTTCAAAGGAAATCATGGTGAATTTTCTTCTTGATCACAAGCTGACGTCAGTCAGAGAACCACTGGAAAACCAGAGAGTACTGGACAGGTGTTTTATCAACCTAGTTTGGGACTGTTCAGCAGTAGTCACCCACCACCGGGGTTCGAACCTAGGAACTTCCAGTTGCAAGGCAAGCTTGCTTACCAATAAGCCTCTGAGGACCGGATCCAATGGCCCATGAATTCCAAATTCTACCAATTCGTGATTTTTGGTTGACCTCCAGTCAATGTCATCGGTGAGTAATTGTCCTCATTCCCGACCAGATGGACCCCACTGGTTACGACTATTCACTAGTTAGTTATGAATATTTTTATTGGGACTTTATCTAACTACTATAAAACTCTGCATAGAAGTCGGTTTTAAATGAAACCATCGAATTGTTGGCAAAGTTCTACAATTGAGTCCCAAGGAATGCGAACGCACGAGTGACCTTGAATCGACCAATCAGATGAAAGGATGATTTTTGCATAAAATTTTACATATTTTTACATAAATAAGCATGAAAAAAATCAAACAGTGTACTTTTCTCTAATATGAGATAAAAAATGTTCCAACTATAAAGAGGAGTTTCAGTTTTTAAATTAAGCCAATTTCTATACATATATTCATCCAAATTACTTCGTTTTGTGATCCGTTGACAGCTCAGATTCTATTTTTCAGGCTTCCCCAGAAACCTTCGATGGAATTAGTATGGCTAACGGTGACAGGGTCGACGAAATCATTCGAATGGTTCACTCTATGATGTATATATCCCAATTGCGATAATTGGTTATATCCCACCCATTCATCGGTGTGTATAGTAGTGCCAGGCAAAACGAGTCTCTGAATAATAGGTAGAAGAGTGTCCGCACTGTTTCGCCGATGTGAACGGTAACACCGACTCCTCCCAACACTTGTGTAATATTGTTCATTTTCCATGAGGCTAAATCTCGACAAAACTGAAACCACTGCACAGTAGATGTCAAGGTATTTTCTGTCTGAGCCGCGGTTGACCTCACTCCGGACTTAAAACTTCAGTAATTGCATATAAACAGGATATTCGTCAATGGAAGTTTTGATTTTTCAAAGAAAGTCCCTAGAAGACAATTAACTGAGACTGTCACTTACCATTACGAACACTTATTCGTTTCCTGCACTGTGTACATCTAAATACTTATCCGTCAATGACCTGCGTATACGCCTGCAGGTTCATAGAAGCACCACAAGTACATATCGGAGTACGTGCTATTAATCCATTATCTAGACAGTACTGAGATACGTGATTTGGGTGAAATTTGCATCTCAGTAGATGAACAGCGTTCATTTTCGCGCTAGATTAATGGTAAGTTTCCTCAACCAATAACTAGCATGCGTTTAAGGTCATTGGAACATTTACAATCCTGGGAATCTATTCTTGTACTTCGACGAATTGTTTACTGTTACCTTCAGTTACACGTTTCTCGTTAAAACGTCACTGTATTGATGAAGTGACAATCTATTTTTTTTCTATTGCACGCATTTTATAATAATTGTAACATAAAAACAAGTCAGTTAACTGACGAGTTAGGAAATGAACAGGCTAAAAATGAACGATTTTAGATTATAAAGCATAAAGAGAAATCCATTTGAAATCAGTTACGCGGAACAGGCTAAGAGCCACACTTATTGTTTAAGGACTACTGATGATACTGTTTAGTGTTACACGCTGAACTAGATGGAGCGGAAGTCGAATGTGAGACCTGCCGGCTGAAAATCAATGACTTAAGTACAGTGTCACCATTATTTGGAGAAGACACTTCAGTAAAATTCAACGCCAGATATTTAGGAAGGATGAATTCAAAGCTCTGTAGGCTAAA